AGTGACAAATATTCAAAAGTCGCGAAACGTAAAGTAATTGACGATTATTGATCGTCAATTAGCAATGATAAGTCCCGTCTCTTACGATAATCTAAGACAAATTACTAGTTCAAGGCAATTGACTCGTGTTATGAACTCGTAATAACTAAATTACTACATGAAAAGGGAAACTAATTATTGGACGTGCAATCTAGATTATGACAAGATTGGTCAAATTACAATTGTTCGGGTTATATCCACTAATTACAAAAACTACAAAGTATGACTTTTATTGCAAAATTACAATATTGTTAGAAGGAGTAAACATCTCTTAAGACGATGTTATTTACCTTATAGGAAGTACTATGATTAACTTTGAACTGAGTAATTTAGCTTGAAATTAAGGTTCGCGAATTAGCTTGGTGTATCGTAGATGCAAATGAAGTCCATGGATTATGTTTTATATTAGTAAAGTAAGTTTCACTGTCTTAAATTATCTTCCAATACGTAAACTTTTGTAAATATAACAATTATCTTATAAGTCCCGAATCACTGTTTTTTATTGTAAATTGCCTTCGTACATCATAATACTCCACAACTTGCTATGCTATAACATGTTATTTTGACTTAAAAAATTTGGGATAATTACACAAATGGTTCATGAATTTTGGCTCAATGTATATTGTCGTCCCGTAACCTTTAATTTGTTTAATGTGGTCCATGAACTTATGCGCAACGTTGTCCCTGAATTTTTATAAATATTCAATTTAGTCCATAGTATATAAAAATATCCAATGTCATTCTTCCGTCGGTTTAAGTTCAGAAAATATTGAATATTTACATATAGCCTTGAGATTAAATTAAAAATGTACTAGATATTCAAAATCAAGCGTTGCGTATTTAGCTATAGTTCGAGACCATTTACGTCGCTTTCCAAAAACAAAACTTCTCTCGGGAGTATGCATGCTTCTAAGAGAAGTAATCTTTGTTTTGTCTTTTGTTTTTTTTTTCCGAGGGAAAGTAATTAATTGATTATTGGCCAGAAAAGGGGGGAAAATCAAATAGGGTAGCAGGTAATTGATGAGTGCAATAGTGCTTGGTTAAAGTAGAGGATTACCTGTGCTTTTCCTTTTTGCCCCCTCTCCCTTTCTTTTGTCCTCTTTCCGTTCCTAGCTTTTGTCTCTTTTTTCGAGCCCTTTTAAGACAGTATTGTACCTTAGAAATCCCCTTTTCGAGAAATCCCAGGACTTTCATTGGCCAAATTCCTAAAAACCCCAACTTTAGTTGTTCAATTATATCCCAAACTTTTTTTGTCTCATAAAAAACCCCAACTTTACTTTTGTCCTCAAATCTACCCCGTTTACTATTCGTCTAATTTTTTAATATTATTTTTATTTTTTCGAATTTTTTCTTTTCTTTTCTTTTTCCTCGAAAAAAATTCGAAAAAATAATATTAAAAAATTGGATGAAAAGTAAGCGGGGTAAATTTGGGACAAAAGTAAAAGTTTGGGGTTTTTTATGAGACAAAAAAAAGTTTGGGATATAATTGGGACAAAAGCTAAAGTTTGGGGTTATTTAAGGAATTGGGCCGACTTTCATTCGAAAATCTTTTAGGTTTTCGCTCTTATTATCCTAATTTTGTAGTTTTCACATTTTAGTTTTTGTTTAACGAGCGCATTCAGAATTTCTTCGAAAAAATCGCATGTAATCTTTTTTTACTAGTTTTTTGTATATGAAATTGACAAAAACAAGTATCGATGGCGCTTTAGAAAAGTAAGTCGACGGTGCTTTCGTGAAACGGTACAAACAAACTATCTCTCTTCTTCGTAGAAATTTTTGGAATTGATTGTTCATATCACGTGCCGTGATCGTGCTTATAAATTATTTTTGCTCTCACATGAGACATCGTAATTTCGATTCCATTCGTGCGGGAGCCGTGGGGTGTGTTGAACTGGCCATAGTACACCCACCTCTCTCTTAAGAGAGATGGAGCTTCTTTTTCTCGTGAAAATTTCTTGGATGATTGAATTTGATTAGATGAAAAAACAAGTGAGAATGATGCTACCAAAATTTAACAAGGTACGGACGCAAAATGATGATTAAGAACACAATCGACTTCGACACTTGAGTGGGATCTTTAATGTGATTTTTATTTTAATTCTATCATGAATTTGCGGCTTGCCCACTTTAATTTTTTGTTAAATTCATTCGGTATAGCCTCCGAGAATAGGATGACGGCGGCTATATATATCCGAGAATAGGATGACGGCGGCTATATATATATATTTAAAAGTATATGTTAAAAACTTATTTTAGTGTTGGGACAATATTTACGCTTTCGAAGAAGTGAGAGAAGAAGGGGTTATCGATAAATACTTCAGTTGCTACTTAATAAATAGGTGTTGTAAATTGCATAATTACTTTTCCAAAGCAAGAAGAGCTATTGCATAATTTGGTTTGCCCAGATAGATTTTGTTTTTAACTTTTCGCTTAGGCTCCATTTGTTTTGCAGAATACATTTTTTAGAAAAATATTTTATGGTATTTAAATTGCTTAGGAAAATGAGTTAACGGAAAATGTTTTCCAAAATATGACTAGATATCGGTGCTTGGACTAAAAACCTTACGTTTGGACACGAAAATCCCAACGCTTGTTCTCGGGCCCTTGGCATCGGCTCCGAGCCGGGGCAAGATTCATTGGGATCCATAAAGGCCAAGCCTAGGTCCAAAGAGGCCGAGTCCATAGAAGTTGGGCTCGAGATACCGAGCCCATGGCTAGGCCTAGGACTCCGGTGCCATTGCCCAACTCCCCGAGCCCGCCTAGCTCCACAAAGACTAGACTCGTGACCCCGGTGCTCATGCTCGAATCTCTAACACCTGGACCCAAGTTAATTGAGGCCAGGCTTAGGTCCGTAGCACTTGGGCTCGAGACCTCGCACTAAGGACCGGATCTCGAGCCTGAGTCCATCAAGGCTGGGATCGTCACTCCGGTGCTAGTGTCGAGGTCCCCAAAGACTCGGCCGTTGTCCATTGAGGCCGGCCAAGGACCTCGGCACCCAGCCCAAGTCCCTAATGCCCATGCTTGTGTTCATTGAGGCCTAGCCGGGATCTCGATGCTCATGCCCGAGACCCCGGTGGTCGGCCCGAGACGACGTCCCTACGTAGGTCCCTAGCCCATGCCAAGGTCCGGACACCGGCTTGCTTGGATTAATCAAGGCCAAGCTCAAGACCCCGGCGCCTACGCCTAGGTTCATCGAGGTTGGGCTCGTGTCTATCGAGTTCCCGCCCCGAGACCGCAGCGGTTCGAGCCCGGGCCCCGATACATGCGCCTCGGGACCCCGGAGCCCGTGCATCGGTCCTTGGTGCCTAGGTTGGGGTCCATTGAGGTTGGACTTGGGACCCTAGTGCCCGTGCACTCGTTCCCCGCTGTCAATGCGAAAATCATTAATGCCCGAATAATATATATCTATTTAGGAAATTTGATTTTCTTATCGAACAATGGGAAATATTTTTCATTTCATTTTTAGATTTCAATCAAATAACAGAAAAATATTATCATTCTCTAGAAAAAAATTTCACTTCCGTTAAATAAACGGAGCTTTAATCTAAATCTTGCGGCAGATATGGTTTGATTTCTTCATAAATCGAAACACTTGGAACTTTTATGATATGTCAATTTCGGCACGAAAAATTCATATTAAATTTTTTTCGTAATTTTGAATTTTGGGGGCTGTTCTGAACTTTTGAAATGAAAATCAGTGCAAAAGTTTTTGCTTTCCGAGCGAAAACGGACAAGTGCAATTATCTGCTCCTGGTTTCAGACAAGGACCTTTGACGTGACTCGACCCGACCGGCAACGTTGCAGCATTTCCCCAGTTTCACGCTACACTCTGCGCTTTCTCCGTACCCAAGCCCCAAAAAGAGAACGAGAAAATGGAAAGGAGGTGTCGACATTCTCCATTTTGATTTCAGATTTTCCCCGGAAAATTCGAACACCGTCTCTCCGTCGCGATCGATCAAGCTCAGAAACCTCTCACTCACTCTCTCTCTCTGAGACACACTCGTCGACCGCCATGAACGCTTCGCCTTCGCAGATGGTGCCGCTTCCTCTTTCCGTCGAGGACGCGATACGCCGAATCTGCACTGATCAGATCAGAACCAGCCTCGCGTCGCTCAACGAAGAGGCCGCGCTTCGGGTCCTGAGGTCGACAGCCGCGACGAAAATCAAGTGGTCCATCGACGGCTTGATCTCCCGCATCATCGAAAGCGGCACCTGCGCCGGCGCCGGCTCTTGTCCCTCGCCGTCTCCGTCGAAGATCGCTCGCATGTCCTTGAATGATCAAAGTCCGGCCCGTCAGTGATGTTCTTTTTCGTGGAGCTTTCGTTCTTTTTATTTTTTATTTTTTTTGTTGTGCGGAGGTCGTGCTGGTGATTTTTGTGCCTTTAATTCGGAGAAATTAGAGCAATATGAGACGGTCAATCATCGCAAATTTGGAAGTTGCGTTGTTAATAACAACTTGTTATCACCATTTGCGGTGTCAACATCTTGTTTAGATTATCCGATTTGATTCGTTTTGGAGGATTGACATGTTCGGAGGGACGATAGTGACTGGTGAGCAAAGACATAAGTGTTGCATGAGGTGACGCAGCCTCTCGTTTTTATATGGTAGTTTTTTCTATTTTTGTGATGAGAGCGACTGAACTATATTTTTTGTTGTACTATCGCCTTTGTTTGCCGGTGTTTATTGTTGGGAAATGGAAAACTTGCTTCCTACATGTCATGTTTTGTCTTCCCTGTGTATAATGATGAACATGGATTGTTCAAAGTATGCTCAATGTATGCGTAAAAGAATCTACTGACACGGTGGTTTTCCTTGTTTTATGTTCATTGTCCTGTTTTTGTGGTGAGAGTGACTGAATCGTATAAAATGGCCTCTGGTTACTTGTGTTTTTTGTTTGGAAATTGAAAAAAAAATAATGCTCAAGACTGCATCTTCTTTTCATCTTCTGGCGCTATTTGTCCGGCAAGATAGTTTGTTCAAAGTTTGTACACAAAATTTGAGCTGGGTATTCTTCTGCTAGACAATGGATTTGCAAGCTCTCCTGTGCGAGATCAACAGATTGGAAGTCCGAGACTTCTTCCGAGTTTGCAAAATTGGAATGGACAAGCAGTTAGCCCCCAGATGAAGGCGTTGAGCGAACTGGAGTTTAGAAAAGCATTTCTCATTCTAAACTACATTGGGGAGTAAGTTCTCTTCTCAGTTGCTCTGTCTGAATGTTGTCAGCTCTGCATATCTAGAGTATTGGGTTGCTATGTTATGCAGAGGAAATCTTGAAGATGCCATAGACAGTGATAGGATTAGACAGCTGAAAGATCTCAGAATGTTTGAATTTGAGGCAGCAGTCTGGAATGCCATTGGACAGTCTCATGTCGAGAAAGATGACCGTTGTCTGGTAACCATTAGGAAGCGATTTCATTTGTCCATTGTTTCCAAAACTAGTCCCTTCTTTTCATTTCGGAAATTGTCCCTCAATTGTTGGGAGGCAGATTGTTATGAAGTGACTTGGAGCATGGATCATTTTGATATGTGGATTAAAATTGGAAACGTGGAATGGTATTATTTAGGAAAGTGATACGAGAGGCATTGGCCATTATAATATATTTAATTTGAGCATGATATGCTTGCCAGATGATTTGGTAAAATGTCCTAAATCAAAAACTCTTGTCTGATACATATTATAAATATTTGAGAAAATAATGGCCAAAATACACAAATGCGCGTGCATGCGCGCCTTCGAGAGAGAGAGAGAGAGAGAGAGAGAGAGAGAGAGAGAGAGAGAGAGAGAGAGAGAGAGAGAGAGAGAGAGAGAGAGAGAGAGAGAGAGAGAGAGAGAGAGAGAGAGAGAGAGAGAGAGAGAATGTATCTATACATATTTATATGTAAATATGGAAGTGTGCTTATTATTACTATACAATGCTAGAAATGTTCATACAAGTGTTTAATTGCAAATTTACTGTAAAACAGGATGAGTATTGTAGATCACGTATCATGAGGGAATTAATGATGGTTTGTGTAGTATTCCATTATATTGTCTCTAACATCTTGCAATGGATGATGGGAAGTAAAAACCTGTGTTCTGATGTGTATAATTAATTGTTAGTTTAGAAATGAATGAGGAAAGAGTGGTTAGTTTGAGTTTGCATGGACATATAATCTCTTAATGCAACGATCCTTATGTGTTGGAATGTGGTAATAGGAATTTTTTAATCGCTTGATTTGGGAACATGATGGCAATGCTGCTCGGTTGGGATGATTATACCCCATATAAATAACTTTAGGTGAGCAGTACCAATAGAGCTTAAGGTTTGTTGGATTTTGTGGTTTGTTCTCTCACATATTAAATTGAGCAATACGATTCATAATGTTTCTAATTTAGATGTTTAGCGCATCACACTGCTCGCATCACCTTAAGGACAAAAGAGTGCTTGACATTAGCATTTGCATGTCACTAGGATTTTCTTTTATAAAAAAGTGTTAAATGAATGTGATCCATTTTTGTAATTTCTTTTGAAAATCTAAAATAATTGGACAAGAATGATAAGCCACGGTGCTTGTTTGGCAAGGATGAAGCTTTTTCGTGAGAATTGTGGTTGTTGAACTTATCACTAATGCATAATGGGTTGCGTAGTATGTGGCATTTAACAATTAGAAGAATCACTTTCATCACTATTCAAAGTTTTTTTTGCTGGCATGCATGGATGTGGTGTGGACACTCTCTAGCTGTGTATTGTCTCTCTATGTCAGCTCTCATGGCAGTTTCTCCACTTTTCTTGTAATAGAGTCCCTTTTTGTTGTCTCCACAAGCTCCTCATATATATAATATGTTAGAATAGTGAAGAAGTCAGCCATTTACTTCATCCTTTTTCATATTTGGATTTCTTTGTTTGACTAAACGAGTTAAATTTGCAGATATTTTTAAAGAGAATGAAAGGCCTAACCTCTTTTCACTTGTCAATGCCAATATCAAAACAAATAATAAAAAATTTCATTAATTCCATTACATCTCTCATTCTAGGTGCCTGTAGAATAAACATGATGACATCTTAGTTGAAACTGATCTCTTGGACTAATTGGTGCTAAATTTTATGTTTAATGTACAAAACTTAATTCTGAACTAAGCAATGTTAGGTATTAACGGTGGTAGTTAGAGATACTTGAGCTTAGGAATACATGGTTCTGGAACAAATTGTGTATGTGCTAATTTTATTTTATTTTGAAGTGGAAAGGGATAAAATATCCAAACTTTTTGAAGATTATTCTAGTTATCTATCCTAATATTCTTAATAATTCTGATTAATGTGTCACCTGAAACTTTTCGGTGTTTGTGTTGTTGCTGCTTTCAGCATGTTGACTGGGATTCTGGAAGGACACACTTCTACCATTGTCACGTTTCACCTCAGGGGTGTTATCATTTTAAAGTAAGTTTCTTGGCTTTTCTCTTGAACGTATACTGTAAGCCTTGAATTCTGACTCTTGGGTTATATCAGCAATGGCTCTTTCTTCCCAACTAAGTTGTGGAAATGATTTTCAGAGAGTGGGATTAGTGCATCACTTTAGTCTCTTTTTCCTCTTTTCGCACTCACCCTGTATATTGTAGTTATCAGCATGCGTAAAACTATTTGCATCGCTGGATGATCAATTTCTCCAGCTTAGACATCGCTTCCTTCTCTATCTGTACAAATGTCAGCTTCTCAAAATGATCAAGACCTAATATCTTGAGCTTTTGAAACCCTTTAGCCTCGAAGCATAGTGTTTGCCAATCATAAAGCTTTTGAACAGATTGTTGGTTCTGTCATCATCCGCATCTATGTAGTAAAGCTTTTGTACAGATTGAAGAGCTCCGATTTGTGCTGGGGTGCTGAAGCCATATTTGTAGTGCGTATAGGATAGTGACGAGTTTTTGGTCCAGGGATACTAAACATTTGTAGTCGAATGAAAATGTTTTGATAAAGCCTTTTAATAGCACTTCCATGCTTCACTGTTTGTTAATATTGTGGCAAGGATATTTTCCTGCTTATTTGGAGACCATTACTTGATCAATTCTGAGCTTAGCTTAGGGTTGTGGCAAGGAGTGTCATGTTCTATGGAGGTGGAATTTTGTAGGCTGACCTTGTTGAACGGATTCTGAGCTTAGCTTAGGGTCCATCCTTTGTCACTACAAGTTCATATGTACTACCAATTAAGCTATCAATTAGGGCCATATGAAAGATATCCTGTACCAATTGACACAAATGTTAGGTCAGTATGCCTTTTTCTTGCATAGAATTTTGTGTGAAAATTTTGACGAGGCTGCCATTGGGTAAGTTTATATTATGCTGCATTCATTTTTTGCGAATCTTTTACAGCGGTTGAATGAACGGATTCCTCTGGCTAAGTGAGAGGAATGTACTGACCAATGTAATTCCTTCGCCTATCCATGGATTGGAGGATATTGTCAACAATCAAGTATAGTAAGTTTCTTATTTGCTTTTGTAATTCTTGGGCGACAAACTTGAATCATTCACAAGCCCTGTTGCTTTACAGTAATGTTACTTATCTCAATCCTGCAAAGCACAAGCACATCCCCAGACCACCTGCTGGTGTTGTCATTCCTCCAAAGGTACATGATGCTCTTACTGGTTCATATATGTTAATCTAAAAGCAAATATTTGTATTTTGTTCTCAATGTATACAATATAATTGGAAAAACGTTATGTGCATTATGTAGGGCTTTGTGTTTGATGTTACATGAGGCCTTTTCCCTTTCAACATTTCTATGAAATATCAATACGGTTGAAAGCGCGGATTATTTCATATAGGAGAACCTTTTTCAAATTACTGTTTAGGTCTCTTTATATTGGATGTCGTGACAAGAAAATGGATGGCTCACTTGTTCACTTTTATAGGTTTTAGGACCTTTGGATAACAAGCCATTCCCTGTGTTATGGCATGAAGATAACAGTGGTAGGCGCCAGAATGGAAGAGAAAGGTGAGAATGAATTCTAATGGTCTTGCTGTCTTGGTTGATGTCTCTGTCCGTTTGTTTTGTATTTCTGCTGCTGCATTGGTGGTTTGTATCAATTTAGAGGCTTGTGGTGCAATAGATTTTGCAGTTGAGAATGAACTTGAAACCAGGAACATTTGGAGTAAAATTTTGGTTACTCCTGCAGGCTATTGAGTGTGTTTGTGGAATCTTTGGAGATCGTTTTCCCCTGTTGTTTCTGTTTAGAGACGCTTCTTTCTTTTCTCTCCCCATCTAAATGCAGTGCTTGTAATCTTGCAGGCCATCAGTACCTGGAGCAATGGTCGGTCCAATGGTGGGAGAAGCAGCTCATCGTCTTGTCAAGAGTACACTAAATATCAAGTTGAACAACAATCAATCCTCTGGCATCTTGGAACCACCACGCAATCGAAACTTTCCAGGATATTATGCAGTTAATAGACCAAGACCAGCTGCTCCCTCTGGGTACGAAAGGGGCTTCAGTGAAGATACCCACCAGCACCATGGGAATCACAACTACACTATTATTTGAAGTCAGTTTAGATTAGGGGAGGGATTGTTTATATTGAAACTCCATTATTGTAGATTCTCTTTGGAGCTGCAATGTTAAATATATATTTTAGCAATTAATTTTGCTGCTAATTAGATTTAAAATCGAAATCGTCCCTAAACAATATTCGTCGCAAACTTACTGACTTAAAAAAAAAAAAATCCTCGCAAATTAGCGATTGTCACAAATAGATTTCGTCGCAATTTAACGACGCAAAAAAATTTTCTTGGCAAATTAGCAATGAATTTTGCCACGAAAATAGTTAATGGCAAATTAGAACGGCGATTTTGCCACGAATAATTAGCCATGAATTTTGCCACGAATTTTTTTTTTCGTCGCAATTTAATACGAAAATTGCCACGAATAATTAGCGGCAATTTTGCGAATTTTTTTTCGTGGCTAATTAGCAACGAAAATTGAAATTTTCGTGGCTAAATTTCGCTGACGCCGAATTAGCGACGAAATTTTTTTCGTCGCTAATTTCGTCGCAAATTCTTTTAGCCACGAATTTTGCCAAATTTTTCGTGGCTAAAACCTTGTTTTTTTTGTAGTGAAATTAGCGACGAATTTTGCCACGAATATAGTTCGTGGCAAATTAGCCACGAATTTTGCCACGAACTATATTCGTGGCAAATTAGCCACGAATTTTGCCACGAATAATTAGCGACGAATTTTTTTTCGTTGCAAATTAGCCACGAATTTTGCCACGAATAATTTGCGACGAATTTTTTTTCGTCGCAAATTAGCCACGAAAATTGAAATTTTCCGTCGCAAAATTTTGCGACGGCCTATTAGCGATGAATTTTTTTCCGTCGCTAATTTCGTCGCAAATTCGTTTAGCGACGAATTTTGCCAAATTTTTCGTGGCAAAATTCGTCGCTAAAACTAACTTTTTTTGTAGTGATAATCTATTAGCTACTCATCTCTACACGAGAATATCTTGATATCTATCCTAGAATAATCTAGATTTCTTGGAGAAGATGGGCGGTGCATCTTTTTCTTCAACATAAGTTAATAAAAAATGATACAGAAAAATGCATCTAGATCTTTAATGAATTTCCACTTCTGTTGCACTTGAGCCCAGGATTAGCGTGCAGATGCGAATTCAATCCGTGACCCTCGTTTTAATCGAGAGCTGGTCACAATTCCTTCATCGGATCAAGATGAATCACAATGTGGTTATCCGAAATTAGCTCGAAGTATATGTAAGTGGAACGTGGAGGTACAAGAGGATGCTCTAAATCCAATGCGAATGGGGAATAATGACCAAACTTGCGAATTATTGTGGAAATATTAGAGAGCTAATACGTACTACTGCCCAGACTTTCACTACTCTTGCACACCGCATCACACAGCTTCAAGACTATCACATGAGCACGAAAGCAGATCATCAGATTCAGAGGACATCAGTTCGTGAATCCAATCACTTTGCTTGACCAAGAAGAGCCTCCTCCATCCTCTCGGCCATGACCCGCAAGCCCGACCCGATGAACTGGTCCAAGTCCTCGGGTTTCCAGCAGTCCACGGGCTCGACCTCGTAGCTCCACACGATGCGACACCTGTCTTCCTCAGGCACGACTTGGACCGTAGAGACGTATGAGTTGAACCCGGCATTGCCGTCTACGATGCTATAGCTGAATATCTTCACAGCCGGGTCGATCGACAGCAGCTTCTGCTTCGTCCAATTCAGGGTTGTCGTCTCGGTGTCGCCAACGTCCCGGTCAACCGGGGTCCTGAACCCGGCGCAGTAGCGGACGCACCAGGGCTGGCCGGAGTTGCCCTCGACGGGGGTGCAAGTGGCGAGGGTCGGGAACCACTTGGCGAGGCCTAAGAAGTCCTCCAAGAAGGGCCATATTTGGTCTGCCTTTGGACCTGCCAAGTCCGCACAAGCTTGGCCCTGCCATTTTGGTTGGTTTTGGACCTTTTGGTTCATGTGAGAAGTCGCATGATCAATGTTTGCGGATTCCATGTTGAAGAATGCCAAACTAATGCGAGGTGCAAGTGGATCTGGTTCAACAAAATGGTGAGAGAGAGAGAGAGATGAAGGCAAATTAGGCTTGTGTTCTTGAGCTACAGACATGAAGGTGTATGTATAGGGTGAGAGAAAGTATGTCTTTCGGAGAAAGCATGTTTTCCGTGTGCTCGTACACCGCATCGTAATTAATTACATCGCTTACGTGATGAAAGAAATCAATCACTTTCAAACAACACGTAATCCCTTATTAATCACCAAGGAAATGAAATATCCGGCTGGAATCATCAAGAATCACAATCTCAACCGATTTGCTTTGTCATAACTTATACCATAACCCTAACTCGACGATTCCAATATAGTTAACCCATGCTGCATGAGAGATCTGAGGCGATGATATGTGGCACGTACATTAGATACCTAAGAGATGATTTCCCCATTCTTTGCCTCACATGTCTATTGAAGATCGGTTAAGATTACCGGTTTATCTTTCCTATTCCAAATCATGTAGATCAGAATATAACGTATCATATGGTAGATAGATTTAAACATAAATAATAATAGTGCCTTATATTTGCTGACTTGCTTAGCCAAAAGGAATCCTACATAATCTGAATTCACTAGTGCTTCCTGCTAAAATATTAACTAGTGTTAATTGCGTTGGTTGGCATGCTGAGTATATACTAAAATTAGTTTCCAAATTTCTATCATAAGATCATGTTCGTGTTGAATATAAGCACTTGTTGCCAGACTTCATCATAGTGTCGCGCGATGGGTCCTAGTCCGAGAGAGAACTGTGAGAGCAACACCATCTGTTTGTGCTTGACATGAATCGCGTGTTCTTTGGTTGAAAACGAGAAGGAGCTTCTGGCAAATTTGAAGAGCAAGTCATGATGGGACACTAATTTCGGAAATGCTAATTATTTCTAAGTAAACCATCTACTTAATTAATTTGAATAACCAAACTTAAAGCTACAAGCACGGCTCATTGGATGAGAGTGGGATATTTTCCTTCCAACGGCGTGTTTGTCTAAGTGAGAATTTTTCGCGAATTAGTTTTCTGGATTGTCACGTGTTTAGTTTGTTGAAAATGATAAGTCAAGGGAAAATCATTTACGGTCAAAAAAGATATGCATGCTTAAAGTTAAGGAAATGAATTCTTTAACATGAAAAAAGAAAAATATTTTTTCAAAAAGTATTTTTTTTTATCATAAAATTTATCTCCAAACAAACACACCTTAAGATTGGAAATTACGTTAACATCACATGATTCTATTTACATCTCATATGTACATTTTCTCAACACCTAATCGCGCCAAGAGGCAATTGATCTTGTGCAAAACCTAATCTCCCTTTTTCCCCACCTAAAACCTAATCTTCCTCGTTTAAAGAAAACAACAAGAAAGCAAGCCCTATAAATCTAATCTACGAAAGAAGAAAATGTTTGGTGGTAGTTTTCTATGTACTAACTTGCATCTCAGACCTCATTTTACTTTTAAATTATGTGCCTAATCTTAGGATAGTGGTTTTTAGCAAATAAATAAAAAATAATATTTTTTTGGGTAGTGGTTTATCGATTCAATTGGGATTTGAGATTGACATAGTATCACAATTTAGTTATCTTTTTTTTCTATTAGTCTTAATTAGCATCTGAATTTAATTTTAGCTATCTTCCTCATTATAATTTAAGTATGAATATTCTAATTCCGCAACAAGTTCTCCCTTTTTTATATCTTAGTCGTGTAGTTAGGTACAATGCCCCGTTAGATCTGACTATTAACCCTACATTTAAGCCCGTTATTGGTACGTAGGATTGAGTTTGGTGTAGTTTTCTCTAGGTCATGATTTTACTTATTGCTTTGATCGTCTTGGTTTAATGCATTTCCTTTTTTTGTAGTAGTCTATTTTTGGGTGCAACCTACTAATTGTACAAGGCTTTTTTTAATGTAAAATCTTATAATACTTATTATTATGTTTTTTAATTTACGCATCAACTATTAATTTAGGACTGAATTAGTATCCGTACAATGGATTTAGCACCGATTGGACAATTTCTCCGAATTAAGACCATCTTACATCCTATTTTTTGTCAAATTGATAGGTTGTCATGGGATGACTGTGCATCGGTGTTCATACAAGAGTCCAGTTAGATTCCAATAGCTTCCTGAAAAAGACGGGACACAGTAATCCAATCGAGACCACATGAAAAACAATCGATATCATATGTTAAACCTGTATTCAAAATCCCTTTCACTCATGTTCCTAGTGTGGTTGCATATTGCCTTAGCCTTAGAAAGAGATGATAATATAAATAGTCCCTGAATTTTGGTACAATCTATGATGTCGTCTCTAAACTTTTAATTTATGTAATATGGTCCCTAAACTTTGACCCAATATTCAAAATGTGATCCTTGAGCTATTGATTAAATGTTCAATGTAGTCATTCCGTTTATTTCAGTTTCAAATAGTTTAAAGATTAAATTGAAAATATACCAATAGTTCATAAGTTGGTTAATGACCCATTTTGACAGCTCTAAGTCCAAGAACGACATTGCACATTGGGACAAAATTCATGAACCACATTTTATAAATTAAATATTCATGGACGACATTGCATATTACACTAAAGTTGATGAATCAATTTTAGGAAAAATATTTTTTAAATTATTAATTTTTCGGGAAACAAACGAAGCTTAAATTCAAGTCCAACTTTAGTATATCCCCCTTTTCAATGTGATTTTGGTAAATCATTAATGAAGTAAATCAGATAAAACCGTTGTACAATGATCATATCACATGACATCTTGGCACAGTGTTATCCACTGAGTAAGAAATGTCGTCTTCAATACTTGTTCGAAAATCGCATAAACTAAGACAGTTGAAGGTGGCACACATCACGTCATTACTTTGTTCACATGCTATAAACGTTTTTATAAAGCGAAGAGCACTAGGCACGGTTTTGTGGAACGAGGAGGAGAAGGTGCGATGTTGTTTTGTGTGATCGAGAGTAAGCCTTTTGTCCATTCGAAGCCACCTTTCTAGCTATTATCACTGTTCTATATGGTGCAAATGGAAAAGAGGTGATTGACGGAGTTTATAGATAATGGGTATTTATCGTGT